TGTGTGTGTGTGTGTGTGTGTCAATGGAGACAGTCTACTCACATTCCACCATCAGAGCCAATGTGCCCGTGGGCTAAACAGTGTAACACACACACACACACACACACACACACGTCCTGGAGGAGCTGCTCTGTGTGGACCAGTTCCAGTACATGTGTTTTGTCATGTTCCTGCAGGACGGGACTTGAGGTGACAGAAACAAACGTGACTACAAACGAACAGCTACAACAAACGAACAACTACAACAAACGAACAACTACAACAAACGAACAACTACAACAAACGAACAACTACAACAAACGAACAACTACAACAAACGAACAACTACAACAAACGAACAACTACAACAAACGAACAACTACAACAAACGAACAACTACAACAAACGAACAACTACAACAAACGAACAACTACAACAAACGAACAACTACAACAAACGAACAACTACAACAAACGAACAACTACAACAAACGAACAACTACAACAAACGAACAACTACAACAAACGAACAACTACAACAAACGAACAACTACAACAAACGAACAACTACAACAAACGAACAACTACAACAAACGAACAACTACAACAAACGAACAACTACAACAAACGAACAACTACAACAAACGAACAACTACAACAAACGAACAACTACAACAAACGAACAACTACAACAAACGAACAACTACAACAAACGAACAACTGGGGGGGGGGGGGGGGGGAGATGTGTGGAATGAAAGTCTTTCATTCATTCGTAGTTGTTAAGCAACGCTTCCACTAGGGGCAGTGCTGAGTTCCTTCACTTCTTGGAGCGTTCGTGTGACCAAAGATGAACGACATGGTGACGTCACACGTGTGAAAACAGTTACATCGAAAGCAACTGCACAAAGGAAGACGTTTCATCCAAGAGACTGACCTCCACTGACCTCCACTGACCTCCACTGACCTCCACTGACCTCCACTGAACTCCACTTCTGACTGAACACTGATCTTGATGGTCAGTCAGTTGCTTTCGATGTAACTATTTTTTGGTACAAACCATTAAAGCACAAACGCGACACACACGACAGGGACTAATATGGATGATTTGGACACGGGGGTCAGAGGGGAGGGGAGGGGTCAGAGGGGAGGGGAGGAATACTTTGAGGAGTTGTTAAATGAGGAAAATGAAAGGGAAAGTAGAAACGAGGAACCAGAGACTAGTAGGAAGAAGGTAGATCAGGTTAGAAAGGATGAAGTTAGAAAAGCCCTGAAGAGGATGAAGAAATGAGGAGAGTCAGGTGGTCCTGATGACATACCAGAGGAAGTATGGAAGTGTTTAGGAGAAGTGGCGGGAAATTTCCTGACTGGGTTGTTTAACAGAATTTTAGAGACTGGCAAGATGCCTGATGAGTGGAGGAAAAGTGTTCTGGTGCCAATGTATAAGAAGGCTGATGCACAGAGGGGTAAGAACTACAGAGGGATAAAGTGGATGAGTCATAGAGTAGTTGAAGCTCGGTTGAGGCAGGAAGTGGAGATTGGTGAACAACAGTATGGTTCAGACCACAGAGAAGTACAGTGTGTAAAGGAAAAGGCAGAACAGTGAAATAGTGAGGTTAGAAGGAGCAGAGGTGGTGGAGGTGGAGGAGTTTAGGTACTGATGAGGACCAACTGTTCAGAGCAGTGGAGACTGTGGAAGAGAGGAGAAGAATAGAGGACAGGCAGGATGGAACAGCTGGAGAACAGTGTCAGGAGTGATCTGTGACAGAAGAGAGTCAGCTAAGATGAAGGGAAAGGTTTACAGGACGGTGGTGAGACCAGCCATGATGTATGGTTTAGAGACAGTAGCAGTAGGCAGAAGACAGGAGGTGGAGCTGGAGGTGGCAGAGTTAAAGATGCTAAGATTCTCTCTAGGAGTGACAAGAATGGACAGAATCAGGAATGAGGTCATTACAGGAACAACACAGACAGGAAGGTTAGGAGACAAAGACAGAGAAGCCAGATGGAGATGGTTTGGACATGTCCAGAGGAGGGACAGTGGAGACATTGGTAGAAGAATGTTAGAGATGGAGCTACCAGGCCAAAGAGGAGATATATGGATGCAGTGAGGGAGGACATGCAGATAGTTGGAGTCAGAGGAGGAGATGCAGAGAACAGGGACAGATGGAAATCAATCATTTGCTGTAGCTGGAAAAAAAAGGGACTAAGCCGAAAGAAAAAGAAGAAGGACACGGGGAGGGGGCTGCGTGACGTCACAGGCCAGAACAAGTCTTTTGTAAATTACTTCAAAGCTTTAATTGCACAAACACATTTTTTACGGCACAAACGAACAACAGCGCTATTTCAGTATTATGAAGAGAACCGTGGAGTGACAGGACAGAAAACCGAGTGCGTGTCTCCAGGTCACGTCAGTCCAACCAGCGATAAACCTCTCTCTCTCTCTCTCTCTCTCTCTCTCAGACAGCGTTACGACGGGACACGCACACATCTGATCACGGTTCTCGGTTCTTACCGTCCTCGGTTGTTGACTCCGTCCGCCCTGTCTGCTCCGCTGCGGCGCTGCTCACATTCTGAGATTTTTCACTTTCACTTTTGTCCCCTTTAACTCCTCTTCATAGGCGGCCTCTCAAACACGCGTGGCGTCATGGAGGAGATTCCAAACACACACACACTCACTCACTCACTCAGATAAAGTCATGTCTTTTTTTAATTCCACGGTTGGGAGTGTGTTCACATGGGAGGGCAAAGAGGAGGGGCAGGGGCATTAATAACTCAAACCTGTTGATTCAAACCTTGAATCAACAGAACTCGAACGTTAAAAACAAACGTTTAATCCCAGACCGAGATTAAAACGTTGGAATATTTGAAACAAATCAGTCGAATCGCTTTTAAACACGAACGTCACAGTTGTCTTTCACTTCCGTTTACACTGACGTCTGACGGAGGAGCGAACAACCAACCAAAGGTATCCAATCTCACCGCCAAATCAACGCAGGCATCGAGGCGTATATGACGTCACGAACACTCCCGTCGTGTGCATTTCAAAGTTGAAACATCCGTTTTCTTCAGTTCGACAGAAAACCACAGCAGTGAAGAACAGACGATGGAAACGTGGAAAAGTCAGTAAAAGTTTTATTTTATACAAACGCCGTCACCACTGTTTATAAACATGTTACAAAAAAAAAAACAAACAAACAAAAAAAAAAACAAGGTTCACCATAAACAAAGTCGTGACAGTAACAACAGAAGGTTCTGGACTCAGTAAACCACATCAGCACCGACCGGGGTTAGAACACAATCTGTACCTGGTTTAAAAAAATGTTACAACTTTAATCAATGTTGTTAAAATCAGATGAAGACGATGTCACTTCACTCACTGCTTCACGGACCGGGGTCCGTGGGCCCAGACCGGGGTCCGTGGGCCCAGACCGGGGTCCACTGACCCAGACCGGGGTCCGTGTTAATGCTCTGGTCTTTGAACAGTGTGAAAACGACAAGTTAAACACGTTGAACCTGAAACCAACAAAAGACACAGTAACAAATATATTTTGAATAATCTACGACACAGGGTTAGAGTTAATGAGTTGGTTATCGCTATGCTAGGTTAACAGGACTGCACTGGTCAGGTCCCGATACCTCCTAGATCTGTGATTGGTCACATGACACCGACTCTGTCACACAGGGAGGGAGAACAAACAGCCAAACCATCAGTGACAGGAAGTGTTACTGATAAACCAGTATTTAACCATCAACCTAGTTCACTGTTAACCTGTAATTAAGCTAACCGTAGACCTTTACACCCCCCCCCTCCCTCTGCCCCCCCCAGCTCAGTGGATCAGCTGTTTGGCCTCATTTCACACTGGCTCCAAAAATAAACTTCAAATAAAAACCCACATCATTAATCTGGTCGTTTCATGATGAATGTTTCACTTCAACGACTTCCTGTACAATAAATATCACTCTGTCGGAACTCAAGTGTCGACAAACGGGAAAAAAAGAAAGAAAGGAAGTCAGGGATGGACCTTTGACCTTTTCACAACCACAGAAACATGTACGTGTGTGTGTGTGTGTGTGTGAAACAGTAACCAGAACAAAAATTGACATGGTCCTGTTTAACCCTCAGGTTTCCCTCCCTTTTCCTCCACACTTTAAAAAGTCAAAGTTCATGGACTATTTCCACAAGGAGCTGCTGTTAAGGAGCTCCTCTTCCTCCTCCTCCTCCTCCTCCTCCTGCTGCTGCACTCAGAGGAGCTTCTTGGACTGACGCTGCTCCGTGGCCCTGGAGGACGAGGAGGTCTTGGGGTCAGAGGACAGGACGGTCATGATGTCTTTGAGAGCTTGACTTATCTTGGCTCCGAACCTGTGGGAGTCCTGAAACCAAGACGGAAAACAGACGATGAGGGGGGGGGGGGCTGTGGGTCTCAGGACGACTGTCCTCGTCACGGAGCCACACTGAGACTGATGTCAACAGGGTAGTTTTACTCACAGTCTCGCTGCAGGAGTTTTTGGACGACACGTGGAAGTTGATCAAATCCTCGCCGACGATGATGTAAGAAACGCCGTATCCGTCGTCTGCCACCTGACAGGAGCGGGAAAATCACACACGAGGTCAGCAGGAGCAGACTGACCGCTGAGGCGTCTCGTCAGGTCTAGGTCAAAGACTTGGTCCACGCTAAGAAAGTTACGATGATGAAATGTGAAACGTCCAATCACAGCCCAGTGAAGGGAGATCTTCATCATCATCATCATCATCATCATCGTTTCATATTCACCGTAACTCCACGGCTCATCGTATTTATTCACACAGCCATAATGACATGGTGTAACCATCTGTGATGAGGAAGTATTTCAACAACAACAACAACATTTGAACATCTGCAGCAGGCGTCCAGCTGCGCCCCCTGCAGACTCACTCCGTGCACTGTAGCACATCACTTCACAGACAAGTGAAGGAGAGGACTGTTGCTATAGCAACCAAATGGGACAGGGTTGTATTCCTTCATTTCATAAAGTTATCGATGATGAAAGTTCTGAAACGAGCGCCTTGTTTGTTGAAAGGAAACAGGGTCAAACAATGGGACAGGAAGAAGTCAACTCACCGGTCCAAAGCCCCCGCCCAGGGAGATGTAGTCGGGGTTGTTTTTGAGGTCAAACAGTTCCATCTGCTGCACCGGAGTCTGACTGGTGGAGAGACGCCACGGCTCCGACAGAACCTGGGAGGTGGAGGTGGAATGGAATCAAAGTGAAGTCAGCAGGGGGCAGCAGTGAGTGGCTTAGCGGTTAAGGAAGCGAACTTGGGTCTCAGGTTCGAGTCCACCAAGTTACCACTGAGGTGCTCTGAGCAAGGCACTGTCCCCACACACTGCTCCACAGGTGTTAAAGCCGCCCCCTGCTGGCTGTGGTGAAGGGTTAACATTTGGTTGTGTGCAGTGGTGCAGTGGTGGTGCAGTGGTGGTGCAGTGGTCAGTGGTGCAGTGGTGGTGCAGTGGTGCGGTGGTGGTGCGGTGGTGCAGTGGTGGTGCAATGGTGCAATAACAAGGAGTTCACTTTCCTTTCTATCTGTAGGGTAAACACTGGACAAATTACTGTGTAATTACTGTGTAATTACTGTGTGTGTGTGTGTGTGTGTGTTCTAAGGTCAGTTACAGATCATCTGCTGTACATGGCAGGAAATACAACATCGAAAGTCAAAAAAAGGACTTGGAGAAGAATTGTGTCTTTGACCTGAAGTCACGACCTGAAGTCACGACCTGAGGTCACGACCTGAGTCCTCGTCTTGTCAGATTGGAGTGGATTTAAAAGCTCATCCAAAGGTGTGATGTTTTAACAGATTTCCATTTGAGATGAGTCAAATATCAGACGTGATCTGAAGATCAAACCGGTCTGAACTGGTTCTAGACATCGACCTGTGACACTCTGGGACCGTTACCTCTTTAAGGAACGACGACTCCACCCCCAGGTACTTGGACACCACATACAGACAGAAGAGGTGTCTGTCTATTCCAGCTCCAGTCATGGCCATTCGATAAAGGTTCTGATGTTTCTCCGACGCCAGGCGGAACAGGCGTCTGCACTGGTCAGCTGACTGTAAAACACCACACTCTTCAGTTCATGCCTCAAAAGAGAAGAGAAGAGAAGAGAAGACTGAGGCGTCTCGTACCTCTCCACCTTCCAGAGCTTTGACAAAGTCGGAGCTCTCGTTGGAGCAGGATCGAACCGTCTCCGTCCTGCCCTCTCTGAACAGACGGGTCATCGAGGCCTCGTAGGTCAGGCAGAAACCACCGCGGTCCTGGGGAGAAAAAGAAAAAAGATTCAGTTTCCTGTTTGGATGATAAATGCAGTATATCATATATGTATCTACATAATCGGGGTGAGGCACCCTGAAGTACGCCAGCTGCAGGCTGATCTGGATGAAGGCGTCTGGGCTGACGCGCAGCTTCTTGATCCGCCCTTTGCCAAACTCTCTGAAGGGAAAGATGTAGCAGTCCACGGTGTCGGCCAGCGCCTGGGCCACGGACAGAGATCTTTGGACCTGGACCTCAACCTGACCAAGGGAGAAGGCGGGAAAATAAAAACTTAAAACTGGAGCCAAGAGAAGAGACAACCTGAAAACACCTGGAGAAAAAAGGAAGAGGACAAAAGGAAGAGGACATGTTGTTGTTGTTGTTGTTGTTGTTGTTGTTGTTGTTGTTGTTGTTGTTGTTGTTGTTGTTGTTGTTGTTGTTGTTGTTGTTGTTGTTGTTGTTGTTGTTGTTGTTGTTGTTGTTGTTGTTGTTGTTGTTGTTGTTGTTGTTGTTGTTGTTGTTGTTGTTGTTGTCTCAGAACTGCAGCGCCACCTAACGAGGACACCTCTATCTGCCACTCAGTGCTGAGTATTCAGATACTGAGCGCCTGGTGTCATGTGACAGATCAGCCAATCACCTCACACTCCATCTGAAGTTTGACACTGTAGTACAGTGACAACACTACACTGAGGAGGAAATGATGGCGTGATAACAAGGATGATGTCATCACACAGAGTAGACAGTGTGGAGAAGAACAAAGTAAAAAACAGGAAAACGCCTCTGGTTTTTCCCAGACTTCTGTTCTGTCCCAAACACAGAGGCAGAATTCTAAGAACTGAACCTTTTCATATAAAGAGCCGTCAGTTCTTCACTTTCCTTCTGCTCTTCTCCTGTTGGAGCAGCGCAGTGGCAGAGAAAGAGAAAGTAAAGAGCTGAAACTGTGGAAAACAGTGGTGAGGATTTAAACAAACACCGCCCCCTGCTGTGCAGTTGGTTCAACTACACTGTGTATTATGTCAACTTCATCTTTACAACTGAGAGTGAAGCCCAGGTAAATGTCTCCAGAGAGCATGATCTAGTCCTGGGGGGAGGGGTGGGGTGGTGGAGACCAAGTCAAGGAATCAAACACACACACACACACTAACACATACCTCTGAGGGAATGTCCCAGAAAAGTCTCTGAGGGTACGGTAGTGACCGGTCCACGTCGCCCTTACAGTGGCCGTCCTCAATGTAGCCCAGCTGGAAGGCATCTGTGGCCAGTGTGTACTGGGTGTACTGGAGGAGAGGAGGAGGAGAGGAGGAGGAGGTGAGGAGGAGAGGAGGAGGAGAGGAGGAGGAGGTGAGGAGGAGAGGAGGAGAGGAGGAGGGGAGGGGGGGGGGGGGAGGGGGGGGGGGGGGGGGGGGAGGAGAGGAGGAGAGGAGGAGGTGAGGAGGAGAGGAGGAGGAGGGGAGGAGGAGAGGAGGTGAGGAGGAGAGGAGGAGGAGAGGAGGAGGAGGTGAGGAGGAGAGGAGGAGGAGGGGAGGAGGAGAGGAGGTGAGGAGGAGAGGAGGAGAGGAGGAGGGGAGGGGGGGGGGGGGAGGGGGGGGGGGGGGGGGGGGAGGAGGTGAGGTGGAGAGTCATATGTCCTGCCATTTGAAAGTTTTCTATTGACTAAAGAACCTACTGTAGATCTTACTGTTCAAACACCAACAACAGTGGAGACAATGAACCACCGGTCCTTTAGAACCACTGGTCCTTTAGAACCACTGGTCCTTTATAGAACCACCGGTCCTTTATAGAACCACCGGTCCTTTATAGAACCCCCGGTCCTTTAGAACCACCGGTCCTTTATAGAACCCCCGGTCCTTTAGAACCCCTGGTCCTGTTTTTTTTCTGTACAGATGTTTGAGGAGTTGACCCCTTTGAGCTGCTCCTCCTCCTCCTCCTCCCTTTCTTACTGACTGTTTTCTTACTGACTGTTAGTTGTCACCCTGTAAGGGTCCACTCCTCAGGGACCGTATTAAACATCTGTGGACCCCCCTCCCTCCCCCCTCTCCGCTCAGAGCCTAATACGAGGATCAAACCTCACCTCCCAGAGGTGGGCAATGGTGGGGGCATCAGCCCAGGAATGTTCTGCATTCAGGCCATTCTTCCCATTCTTGTATATGACGATGGAGAAGGATTTATCAAACCACCTGGAACACACACACACAGAGACAGTCTCTTAGTTAACGGTTTATCATTAACTAATAAAGATACAGGCCTAGTCCTCAATGACTGACGCCCACACACACACACACACACACACACGCTCTCATCTTCTCACCTGTCGTAACATTTCCCGTGCAGCAGGGACTTGGCGTAGCGGTCCAGGTTTCCCTCCGGATCGTCTCCTCTCATGCCCTGCTCTTCATCGTCCAAGGTGACAAAGAACGCCGCCCTCTCTATGATGTCCAGCGAGCGCTTGTTGACACCGGAGCTGAAGAATTTTTTTCTGGTTTGAGCCCAAGGAACCCTTGACAGGAAAAGATCAGATGAATTAACCCAGGACTTGAGTGGACATGAACCCTGACCAGGGCTGGTTGTCTCTACTTCACTGCATTTTAATATAAAATGTCCTGATCCTTATTCTTGTAGCTTCCAGATCAACCGTTCACTGTCCGTCTCTGGGTGGTTTTTTGGTTTTTTACTCACTTTAATATAAAATGTTTCCTTAATTATTATTATTTTATGATTAATATATTTGTTTATTTCTATGTTTTTGATGTTTTGATGGGGGATTTAATTAAATTAATTCACAGTATATTTCAGGGGGGCTGGAACAAATTTGTTTATATTTAGTTCTATTTAATGGGGGGGTGGAGGGGGGGTCGTGGCACGGATTAGCCTGGTATCCTGAAGCCCCGCTGTATTTAATATGAGGTCTACTCCCTTCCTTTGTCGGAGGAAAAACAAGGGAACTGAAAGCAACCATTGGTGTAAAAGGTGTACTCTGGTGCCCTCTTGTGGCCAGAGGATGCTGGTCAGTGGTGTTTATCCGACGTCTCTTTCCTCCTGGCTCTTAAAGTTTACGGTTTATTTGTTGAACCGATTATTAAATCCTGCCATGTCACAACACCTTAAATCTAACGTCCAGCAGCTCTGAGGGAGAACGTTCTGGACACTAGATGTCAGTGTAGATACACCAGCCTGAAGACACCCCCCCCCTACCTGTCTCCAGCAGTCAGAGCCCCCAGTTTTTCCTCTCCTGGCTGTGAGGGGGAGGAATCCTCCAAGATCCTCTGAACCTGGTACTCAATTTCCCGAGGGGAAAGCAGTCGACCGGCGTGGTACACCCACAGCCGGAAAAAGCGCCCCTTGTGGTAGACTGCCACAAACTCACTGTCCTGCCAGTGCTGTATGACATCTGCAGAGAGCAAAAGAAAAGTATTCAATCAAGCCGCACTTTGTCAATAGAACATGCTCTACACAAGTGTGAGAAAGTGTGTCTCCAGAGGGGGGCAGCAGAGTACAGAAGAGGTGCAATATGATTTTTATTACATTTCTTTTTGTAGAAACAATGAAATGAAAATTTGTTCATCAATTATATATATATAATAATTATTTTATATAACAAAATAATAACAGTGTGTTTGTGTGTGTGTTGCTAGGTTACCAGTCTCCTCTCCGGGGGTGCGTGTTGTGTTGAACATCCTCTCACACTGAGCGGCACACAGAGGGATGACCGTACCAGGAACAAAACTCTGACACACAGGCACACACACACACACAAACACGTTTATCAGCACCATGAGTACTTCATGCATCAGCAACAGGACCACACTGTATATTCCTAAGTTCTTTGTGTCGACAACTGTCGCCCCCTACTGGTAGTTTGGCCTTTATCCTCAGAGTTCCACATGGATAGAGGGAGCTCACATGATGAGTGCTGAGAGACGGTCAACTTTTTTATAAACCTTTTTATATTTAATAAATATATGTGTGTGTTTATTCGTTCTCCACCCGTCACAAAAATGTCACACAGACACACCCAGGTCTATCAGTAATGCGGTCCTACCGGTTTGAGTTCCTCTCTGTTCAACTTGCGTCGATAGAGAAGCAGAGCCGTGATGGTGTTTCCTGCTCTGGCCGCCTGCAGGGGGGTTGGTGTCACGTACAGGAAATCCTGTTTAAAAACAAAACCAAAATAAAATAAAAGGTGATGTTCAATCAGATCCTCAATTCTCTGTGGAGTTACTGAACCACCAGACCTGGATGATACATCAAAAATGTTTTATAGAAGGTGAAAATAGGAATAAAAATCATTTCAGTTGTTGTTGTTGTTGTTGTGTTGTTGTTGTCAGTGTTACACTGCGGTGGTTACCATGCCGTAGTAGTTACTGTTGACCATGATTGGACCTCGACCCCTCAAGTAAACATATTCCTCCCACCAGTCACTGACCTGGAACAAAGACAAGTTACATTCATTTTCTGTTTCATGATTTAAGGAAACAACCACATCACAAATTATCTGACTCATCCAGCAGGGGGAGCTCTAGGAAAAAGCAAATGTGGCCTATGCCAAGAGCTGGCTTTGAAAACTGGGATGTGAACATGATGAATAAGAAGTACAGTGACAAATACTACACATGGCAAAAAAAAAAAAACTTTACGTTTTCTTCATTATTACATCATCAATAATGACTTACTCAACGTACAAACAAATTCAGAGAAAAGGTCAATAACAGTAGTTGTTTATGTTTTAATGAATTCCACATTAACTATCGTCTACTTATCCTGAGGATTTTAGTTCCTTCAACTGAGGAAGCAGACTGACGCAGGTCGACGTCAGTCAGGATGAAAAGTTATGAAAAATAAGAAGTAGTGAATGAAGTAGTGAATGACGTAGTGAATGAAGTAGTGAATGAAGTAGTTAATGACGTAGTGAATGAAGTAGTGAATGAAGTAGTGTGTACTCACATAGTTTGTAGCCCACAGTGCTTTAAGCTTCAGGTAGCGCTGGAGTCGATTTCCCAAACTATTTTCAAACAGCTGACTCAGTTCAGTCATTCGCTCAAACTCTACATCATTGAGCAAAGGACGCACAGACTCCAGGTGCTGGGGGGGGGGGGAGAACGTTTGAGTCAGGTGTTCAGTCCTTCCTGGTCTGGTGTGTGAGTGTGTGTGTGTGTGTTCTCACCCGACTCAGTGTGTCCTTGATGGCAGGAACAGGCAGGTGAGGTAGAGAGGTTTGATAGCTGTACAGCATGGGCTTCCTGCTGGACAACAACCTGAGCAGAGTCTGTGTGGAACCAAGAGAAGAAGAAGAAAAAAAAAAAAAAAAAAAAACCAAAA